TGTGGTCAGGATGAGCAGTGCTGTGGGGACGAGCAAGTTCAAGGACCCTCCTCTGGCCCTCGGTGGTTCCCACAGCAGCTGTGTCCTGAAAAGCTTTCCTGACCCCAGACCCTGCCAGCTCTGAACCTGAATCCCACATGGCACTTGGACCTTAAAGACCCTGAATAGCCACCACTGGACACACCTCAGACTGGACACAAATCAGGGATTTTACACGTTTGCATGGTGGTTGCTATTCCTGAAATGAAACTAACCTCTCTGGTGGGTTTTCAGAGCCAGTAAATCTCAGTGGAGAAGATTGTCCATCCTTCTTCCGTGTGGCAGCTCATGGTTTTGAACAGCATAACTTGGGGTTGGCAGTGCAGGTTCCTTTAAGCCACCAGAGTTCTCTCTCATGGACTCATCTTTTTTTCAGGGTTACATAGAGTTCAAACTCTAGAGAGACACACACACATACACACACACACACACACACACACACACCATCATCATCATCTTTATGATAAATACTCTCAACTTGAAAGGAGAGACCATGTGGGGATGGAAAGTCAAGGGCTGTTGTGTGGTCCATTCCCTCAGAGCTACAGTCACTAAGCCCCCAGCGTCCAACCTTAAGGGACGCTGTCCCAGTGAGTCAGTCCCTGGAAAGGCCTTCCTTTCCCTCTCACTGACACATTTCAGAGCTTTCACTTGGCTGTTTTCTTTTCGCCACATCACCACCTTCACTGGGAGAGCACTAGGTTATCATCTTGCTAGGATTCCATCTCTGTAGGTCAGAGTTTAGTAGACCTTGCGAGAACAGGTTTGGTCAAGTAAAGCGTGTATGATTTTTCACTTGGAATTTTACAATTTTTGACTGACTGGCTTATTGTCATCGAGTAGGAACTGACTCTTAGCTGACCCTCCATGGGTTTCTGACACTGTTCATCCTTCTCCCAAGAAGTCACTGGTAGATTTGAACAACCAGTAGGGGGTGGTCTTTGGGTTACTAATGAGGCTCTCTACTGCCTTTGCCATGACAGCCAAATTTTTCAGGTGAACCAAAACATATGAGACAAATTATGTGAATTAATAAAGTAATGGCAATATTTTCTGTGAAATGTCTGTGTTTAAATCCAGCCATGATTCAGAAAAATGTTGCTACATCTTTGAATGTCAAGGTTAAGAGGATAATGCACTTGAGAAATTGTGGTACATTCAGACAATGGAATACTACGCAACACTCAGGAGCAACGATTTCGAGAACATTATGCTGAGTGAACTAACTCAGTCCCATAAGGACAAATACTGTATGAGACCATTGTTGTAGAAATAGAGAGATAACTAGTAAACATATATGAGGATCCAAGGGGAAAAGGGTAGGAGCAGAGGGTTGAGGATGGGCAGAGGGAAGTCATAGAGACGCAGCATTTGATGGATAGAGGGAGGGGTGGGGAAAGGAAATGGGCAAGAACCGGCAGGGATCTGGAAAGACAGGGCAATGGTGGGCACAGATCAAAGTTTAATTTTCTAAAATATAATGAATTGGAATGATTGCATGAAACACAATGTAAATGAAGAATAGTGTGAAATACAATTATATGAACCTTGTAAGCAAACCAATATGATATAAAAATTTTTAAAAAGAGAGGAGAATACACTAGGCAAGCAGTAGGCGGGTGTGTTCTCTGGTGGCTGGTCGAACCTTCCACCTTCACGACTTGACTCTGATCTGAGCAAGGTAATAAAATCTAATCTATGGAACAACCAGTAAGAAAAAGACAAACAATTCCATTAAAAATTGACCCAAAAAACCCACAAAGGAAAAACAAAGAAATTTTTCCAAAAAAAATATTTACAAATAAATGATCACTAAGTTTTACAAATAAATGATCAGTAAGCTTATCACTGTTGAGTCCATTCTAATTGACAGAGACCCTGGAAGACAGAGATGTGTCCCACGTCGTTTCCAAGTTGTAATCCTTTTTTTTTTAAATTTCCATTCATTCATTGTTGCACTTCTTTCCCCTCCCAACCCTTCCCCCTAGTACACTCCCCTCTTGGAAAAATAAAAGAAAAATTCCTGCTTGGATGTCAGTTATGGTCTCTTTGGGGTATATTCCCAGTAGTGGAATTGCTGGGTCAAATGGTATCTCTATTTGCAACTTTTTGAGAAAACACCATACTGCCTTCCACAG